ATGAACCTTACATAAAATTAGACGCATAAAATATTTAATTTTAACATTAGATAGGAGTTGTATATATAATTACACTTTTTTTTTGGAAATTAATTTTTGTATACTTTTATTTTCTGGTTTTCATTAATTTGATATCATGTTCAACATTATACTTCGATTATTTGAAAAGAAACCAACAAACCACAGAGTGAAAGATCATTCAATTTATCTCGTACTTAGTCTTCTAATCTTATTTGTTATTACATAAGATTTTCTCTTAAATAGATGTTGCACAAATAAATAGGTAGTGGAATGCAGGTTTATTTGGCAATGGCGATTGCTGAAGCGGCACTGAACAGCAGAACCAGCTTGCACGGAAAGTACCTTTGCATAAATTGAAACATTCAATGAAAGGCCCACGATGACACATGCAGTGGTCAAGAATTAATACCCTTACTCTCTCACATGTCACAAGCCAAGATCTGAACAGCCCTACTCAACAAATCAATCATGTTGCTTCGTCTTTACAGAACCCTTTGTTTCTTCCTATTTTATTTACCTGCTTTTTTCGGAGGAAGGAGGTTTCTTAGCCTTCTTGCCTTTCAAGTGATTTTATAAACTGCCAGTAACATATATAAGAGTAAAACATCAATAATAAACAGTGAATTAGTTGTCTCCTTTGTGTGTTTTTTACCAACATGTCACACAGGGAATGCGCCCTCTTTGCGCTACATTTTCATGCTCATGTTTTTGGGGTTTCACTGTTTTTTTACTCGTTTCAAAGTAAAGGGACCACCCCCTAGCTAGGCCTGAAGTTCGTCTCGAATTCTTATTGGAGCTTTCGTCACCTCAAGGCTCAAAGTTTCACTATTATCATTTGCATGCATAGCATGATCCACAAATAATATCATTTGTCTTTCCGATTCCGAGTATTTTGTACGTAGTACTGTCTATGTACTAGAAATCTTATGTAATCTACGTATAGTAATTACTTCTTTTGACCCCTTCTCCCTCAATCATTTGCAAAACTAGTATTTTTTTTCTTCACTGGCTTTGAAAAATGATATATATATATGCCTTTAACAAACGAAAACCAGACCATCCTTATCTTATCCGTGGATGACTTTTCAAAACTCATGAATATGTGTGGACTTGCACAGACCAAGTTTAATCTTATTAGAATCTATTTCCTTCCAATGGCAATAATTTTAATGTAATAATTTAAGGGTTTTAGTCCTCTAATGTACAAATAGCAGTTTAAAATATAGAATGCATCGAAATAAGCATTAACTAAAATATCTTAAATTCTAATAACTCTATTTTAGTGATTGTTCTTTTTGCCAATAAAAAAGAAAAGAAAAGAACATAAGTATGTAATTTTCTCTCTCTTATGTTTTAACTAATCTATTTTTTTATTTATTTGTTAAAATGAATTTTTATTAGCAAAATTATGTCAACATGCATTTATTAATTTACTTAGGAAGGAACTGAGGGAGTTTAAAAATTTTGCGGAACTAAACAAAATAATGTTACTTTTGTTACGTGCACATATGGTCAAAGTATAACCAAAATATTAATAATCCCACTTATTCAGTCACACGCGGCATCGATCAATGCGCATGGCTTACTTGTTTTGGCTTTAAGTTTGGCGCGAACCCTTGTCTATAATCTCTCTCTACTCTATTGTGCCCAAGAAAACATGTGAAGCAATATTATGAAAAGATAAACCTTAACGAGGTAAGAACCAGTAAGAAAGAAACACTTGATAAAGTTCTACTTCGGTGCTCCCTCCTCATCCTCACAGGTATGATATGAGAATCCTTGTGGCGAGCATGCTAAGCTCTTTCACACTCCTCTCTTTCTGTGCAAGTGATGAGTCTCTGACTATGAGTTGAAACATGCATCATGATTAGGTTTATGGGAGCACGCCTAATCATTGTGTCGTTCCATTACTTGAAAGGAATTTCGTTTGCTTCTTTAATTGACTCCGACAGAAGAATTTTTACTTGTCGTCAATTTTCAATGACAGCCACACAAACAATCACTCGTTGTCCTTGAATATCTTTCGCATATATGATTGGTTGATTAAGATTTGCTTTGACATGGGTATTTAAACCAATAACTTTTGAAAACTCACGTCACTCTTGGTGGAACTTTTGAATGAGCTAATCCCTCTTCTTGCGATCTGGTTATTTAGTGAAACATTTTGAGACTAGTCTGATAGCTTGCATACTGAGTACTCAAAGTGGCACGTTATGCCAAGAAAAAGCATGTGTCAGACGGAGGAGTGTTTTGGCAGAGAAGCTGAGGAGCCATCTTCGTATATACACAGGTATGCATGCCCTGATACTGGAGCGAAATATGTTTCAGGTAATATTTGTTTGATATAAAACGGCACTTTTGGATCCAAGAGTTCCTGTAGTTGGTGTATTTCCTACACTTTTGATATGATCATATCTTCGTTTTAGTTTGCATTCAATTACACAGTTAAACTTGTGAATCAATGCCATAACAGTTTGGTATAGCTTCCAGACTGTGTGTTCTTAATCAACGCTCTCATTAGCGACTTATTGGATCATGTTGGATCTCCGCTGACTGTTATAGTTCAGATGCTTTTTAGCTATGGTTTTTATTTTGACACTGATACTGGCGCAATATTTGATTGGCCCCATTTCTTTTTATCACATTTTTTGGACATTCTCAGATTTTTTTTCCTTAATCACAGTGAATATGAGCATCGATCTACTAGTATGAAAGTATTCATGAAAAATTTCTTTAGTTTAGTTTTCCTAAATTATTAATATAAATATTTTTACTGTAAACTAATAAAAAATATTATAACATGACTAAGTTATAACCAACTTAACATATCTTCAACGTTCTGTGAGTGGACGACCATATAAGTTTATGTATTACTTTCTTAGTTATTATTTGTTATGTTGAATTGTTTTAGGCCATATATATATATATATATATATATATATATATATATATATATATATATATATATATATATGAGAGAGAGAGAGAGAGAGAGAGAGAGAGAATTCTGCTTTATTTTTTTTGTATTCTCACTTAAATTGTCACAAAAAAATGTACACAGTATTAAATGATTAGAAGTTTCTTTTAAAAAAGCTGAGTCAACGTAACATAATGATAATATTAAAATATATAGTAATTTAGTAATTTTAAAATAAACTACGCCATTAATTTTAACTTAAAATAAGTTAAGCAGTTCCAACCCTTCAAGATTTACATGCATCAATATGCACACAACACAACTTAGTGTATTAAGCGGATATACATTTTATACCATTTGATTTGCGTTCAGTCTAACATTTCTTAATCTAGCTTCCACGTGTATCTTTATTTGGACGAGGAAATATTGTTTTACCAGTGTTTGATAAAAACTTTTCTTCTTTTTTTCTATCACTCTCTTGAACAATAAAAACTAACGTGAAAAATGAATGCATTCATCTTTCCTTTTCTATAGCATTCTCTTGAGTAATAATAAGAAATTATGTGAATGAAAAAAATTAAGTTAGTAGAATCATCTCACAACTTTGTGTCGCCGTAGTTTGTGATACATGCAGAGAGACACTAACACTATGTATCCTTTTAAACTAACTACTCCAATGTGAAGAAGAATTCACCTTGGAATGTATTTAATCGAAAATGTACGCCAGTATTTAAATATTTCTTAATTTTACATTTAAACTTGATAGCAAAGCAAATAAATAAATTAATCAGAACTGTTATATTATATTATATTATATTTGTCCATCATTTTTTTTCTTTTTTTTTTTAGCAAAATAGACAAAAGAAAAACAATGAAATGGATCCCTCACAACAGAGATAGGTCAAACCCACCCAACCCAACTGTAAGACGAAAACAAAAGTTATAAAAACGTATAAAAGTGTGTAATAATAATAGTATAGCTCTTAGAAAATAATGCAATTCAACACATACACAAATTCAAGCTCATTGTGTCACTATTAAACTTGAGAATTTACCAATTTTTGTGAGAGTTTTCTTAAACTCGCATGGCTAACAAAAATACGAGTTTGCACCCTATTTAGCTCGTTTCTGAGTTATTGTAAATACAATTACTCTATGTTACGAAGTCTTTTCCTACTCAATAATGTGAAGATATGAAAGAGTATCTATGTTAACTTTCTTACGAAGCAAAAAGTAACTAATGGATCTTTATAAAACAAGAAAAATAAATATAAATGATTAACCAATAAAATTTATTTATTTTTTTAGTCATGTAGCATTTCCCAATTATAAAAGCATAAAACTCATTATAATTTTTTATCCGACAGTCTTGTCCACTCGAACGAACAAAAATAATGAAAGAAGATACGCGCATATAGATAATGGTTTTCAGTCAATGTTAGTGATTAATCTCTTTAACTTTGTGTTTAAAATTTCACATCTTTTATATACGCTATACAGAGATTATACTCTTGCAGAAAAAGACATATTACAGTCAATTTTAAACTGGCACAGGGGAGAAGTTGTGTGTATATATATATCAGAAGCATGTATAGTTTAGGCTCTCAAATGTCATACATTCATTCTCACACTTCCGAATCCTGATAGATTCAAGAAATTAGCTATTTCAAGTACAAACTGAATACATATATATAACTTTTTGGAAAAGCAAAAGCTGCAGTGAACAAATCACTTTTAACATTAATGCACAGAACACTTGCTAGCTTGGATCACTTCCTGCTGTAGAGAGTAGAGTTGACCTTGAAGCACTAATTTGTTTGCTATATATAGGAGTATTTTGTTTGCAACTGATGAATTGCAACTAATTAATGGATACATTTCAGTCCACACTCCACCTTCCAGAGGTTCAACAGCTAATGAGATATAAAAGGGTTTATTATGTACAACAAGCAGGAGAAACATCACTTGTACGTACTTCCTATATAATTAGTATTATGCATCATATATCTTTAGTATATATATATATATATATATATATATATATATATATATATATTATATTTCACTTCCACAGGTCAATTTGGCAGCTGGAGGTAGATGTTGAAGCATATTCCTGGGAAACTTGCTCCTTTTTAGATCCATTGTCAACCATAGAAATTTGTTCAGCCACATGGAAGATAGGTGCATTGGAATAACTGGTCTCCTTGGAAACATCTTGGTTGTGACTGAGCTGAGAAGCAACAAATTTGTGAAGTACTCGCCAATCAGTGACTTGGTCAACCGCATTATCATTGGTACAATAGAGGGAATTTTGACTTTGTTGGTGGCAATATTGAATCTGTTCTTCCTGAGTGAGTGATGAGAACTGCAAGGTGCTTCCATTGTTGTTGTTGTTGTTGTTTTCATAACCAAAAGGGACAACTGAGCTGCAACTCAAACTGGCTGCTGAGTGAGCAACTTTGGGGCTTTCAAGTTGTGGAAGTTGGAGGAATGCATCGTGGGGTATGTTGTTGTATTGCAATTCCATGAGCTCAGGCTTGCAGGGGGGGTGCTGATGGTATGATGCATAATGCTGAGAAATGCGTCTGGGGGATTCAAGATCTTGCATGAAGGAAACTTGCTCGTCGTACCAACAGGGTGATTGATCATACTCTCCCACTTTCTGCATTGTAGTCATTCGCTTCTTAAACACTCTACACACAACCCAGCCTTCTTCCTGGAACGGTTTAAAAGTTAATAATTAAACCCTCGCCTGATTTCTTTTTAACTAAAATTCCAACTAAAACCACATTATATCTAGAAATTAAGAAAAGCTATATATACTTCAGAATCAATACAAGGTCACAAAATGAGCAACATGTTGGTTTAACTACAATTGTAACAACTTAATAATATGAATAAGAATAACATGTTTTTTGAAGTGGTTGAAAACGCACGCAAATTTAAGCAGAATATATATGATTTGTTCTGAAACAATTCCATAGTACTAGATGCTAAAATGCAAGTAAATTAAAGCAGAGATTATTTTCTTTGAAAATTTCCTGAAGAACTAGAAACATTACATCATTGTTGTAAGAGATAAATGAGACCTTGTGTGTGAAAATTGTTGTGTTGACATTATTCTCCTTGAATACATTACACAATATTGATATTAAGTATGAAACATATGCGTCTCAAATTTCGTGAAAGGAAAACAAAGCAATCACATATGCTTTATCCATGGGTGGTAAGGAAACATATAAGTTTAACATTAGTCTGACAACTGAATCTATTCCGTAGCATTCTTGTTCAAGCCAAAAAAAAAAAAATTGGTCCTTTCTATCTGGATTTATGTTTTTATATTACTTTAAATAAGAGATAGCAAAGTTTGGAATCTAAAATCTTATGTAAATTATTCAAATCCCACTACTAAGCCGAACTTAATGAGAATTCTATTGGGGAAAGGGGCAAATAGGCTGGAACAGTTCTATGATTCAACCAAAGGTGAGGTTTGGTCTTAGTTTTCATCTAAAGACAGGAGCCACATTCTTTATTCTCAAATTAGTGTACCCGGTGGACAGTACAGAGGCGTAATGTACACACGAGTTGATATTCTTTTGATATATTGTATGCTAGGTTAGAATACTATTAACACTATATTATATATTTATTTTTTTGATATATTTATATGCACATGTACCTAGTTAATTTTTAAAGTTTCCTGAGATTTCAAGTGCTTACACGTAGTTGTAATGCTAACATAATAGGCTTTAGAATTGTACATGAGAAATAGAATCATAAAAATTATTAAGAAATGAAAAATTCTTTTAGTCTCTATAATATGAATAAATTTGATTTTAATCTTTCAATTTGCTATGTTAATTTTAATCTATATACTAGACATTTTAGCAATAAACCCTATCATCACTGATGATGTGACATGCATTTAGAAGTTACATGTAGAGAAGTAACATTAAAGAAGTTCATATGTGTTATCTTTATACGTAACATTAAAGAAGTTTATATGTATCTCCTCACTCGTTAAATAACTATAAAAAAGAACAGTTTTAAAATCTTTAAAATTGATTTCACGCACGCAAAATAATTTTGTCTTTCTTATTATACAATTTGAGCAACACTTGAAAATATTATGAAATGATATCTATTTCGAATAGTAGTTGATGAAACTGTATGACTTGGCAGCATGCAGTGAGGCAGCAGAAAAAAAAGTTCCAGATTTAGATTACTGTAATATTTATATATTTGAATTTTGGTTCTAACAATTTATTATTTAAACAAAAACTTTGTATTTTTGTTTTAGGTTTGGTTGAACAATTTGGCTTGTAAATATAAATCAGTAACTTAAAAATGTAAAGAAAACAATATTTGAATTTGAAAGAAAAATTACCGGAGGAGTTCCATTTTCATTAGTTTCTAGCCTGTACTCGTGCATGATCCAATCAGACTTCTGTCCATTTGGGGCTCTTCCTTTGTAAAACACTAGTGTCTTTCTCATCCCAATCAGGCAATGCTTAGAGTATATTGCCTTGTCTCTTCCCGTGGCTTTCCAGAATCCTGCTTTTGTAGCTCTATTTGTGCGAGTTCCAGTTGGGTATTTCTTATCTTTATGACTGAAGAAATACCAGTCACTTTGTTCATCTGTTCCTATTTTACATAACTCTGTTTACATCATAGTAACAAATGTCATGATCAGTATATTACATCTTCTTAATATATACATGTACGTCTTATTTTATATATCCAATGCTTTAGTTACTAATATCTTTGTAAGAATTACATACCTTGAAGATCCCATGGTTCAATTTTATAGAGATCAACATCTTTGATGACATCTAGATCAATCCTTTTAGACGCTACCTTCTTCCTAAGGTAGTAACCTACGAGCTCTTCATCGGTTGGATGAAACCGAAAGCCTGGAGGTACATGTGAAAATGTGTTCATTTCCGCTCTCAAAGAATTTTTAAACCTGTATCTGAAAATAAAGATAAATAACAAAATTAATAACTCTCTGCTTAACATGAAGTTTAACCTATTTTTTTCGTATATACAGTGAATAATATTGCTACCACTTATATACTTCAACGTTCAGTTGACCAGTTCAGAAATGGTGATAAGCAACAATGCTATGGTGGAGAAGTACTTGATCGACAATAAGAACATAAAATGATCCAAACTCGTCACTTATGTGCTCCACAAAACATCAGACATGCTTTAACGAGTCTAAATAAAAAAGTATTGAGCTAAAGAAAACAAACGAAAAGTTGAAACGCAAAGCAAATGGAAAGAGTAATTCATGCCTTAGATACTACGTAAAACAATTGTTTTGTTTCTATATCTATCTAATGAACATTTTATATAAAGCAACAAGATTGATAAGGAAACAATAATGCTGTACCCATAATTAATGGAGGAGAGACTATCAGACTCATGCATAGTTTAGTTAACGGCAACGTGTCGAAGATTGAGTTACCGATAAGTCAGTATATTCAAGAGAGAAAAACTGGGTAATTATAAAGCATATCCCTTAGGGGAAAAGAAAACGAGTAATCCAAAGTCAATGTGAACTAACTGGAAAATTGTTCCGGAAATCATGTTAATTATATTCTTCCACTGAACTGATAAACAATATGCATTATATCTTTATTCGACAAATTATTGATAACAAAGACCACATCTCCTCCTCCTATATATATATATATATATATAAGTTGGAACTTTTGCAATTAATTAACATCTGTAATTATCCAGAATTAGGGATTGAAACAGCATTGGATTAACATTCTTCATTCATACTTGGACAATTAATGGAAACTACTACTAAGCATCCCCAGTCTTCGTCCAAAAATCTGCTCCAAAATGAAACAACTTCATTGTATAGTATTACGCCATCAAAATTTCCAAAATATACATGAAATTTCTCGTCTTTCCCAACAGTTCATATTTTCGACATCGAATGCGATGCTTCTAGCTATGTATGATTAATTAGATCCAAGGAATGAACTCAGAAAGAAGAAGAAATGAAAAAGAATGAAATGAAAAACAAGTTACTCCCACACCCAAACACATAAATTCAATTTAAAAAATGAATAAAAGAATTCATATAAAAAAACGAAAAAAAAGAAAAGAAGAAGACTATTGATGGTCTGAGTACGTAATTGCTTCACGAAGAAGCCATAGGAGATATTCCAGAACTTTACCTTGTGAAACGTTGACTCATTTTCCTTAAAGAAGAAAAACTAAATTAGGCTGTGACACACGGCAGAGAGGACACACTTTTTACAAAGCAATTATGGGGTGGTATGAAGTAGTGAATGATGTTGTATGCTATAGCACCAAACATTCAGCTTTTCCAGCCTACAAAGAGGTTGATAAAGCACTCAAAGGTAGTCACATTTACATAATGGCGTAAAGCACGACTTGCAAGTTCCTTGTTCAAGCGATTATAGTGAAAAGAACATCATCAATTACCAGAAACAGTGGTTTGTTCAGTTTACACTCGGATATATTTGCAAATGGTCTTTTATTGTTAGGTGTAAAACCAAAAAGAAGACCGGCGCGAGGGGGTTAAACCATGATTTGGAGGTTGGTGTCGATGAGATACAATCACCAACCGAACACGGATCACAGTCTTGTCAAAGATTTTATGACTTTTACCATTTGACTTGGGCTTCTCCTTTGTTTGTCTTTTCTTGTCTTATTCGTTTGTAAAAACTTAAAACATAGAATATATCAATTGATCCACCAATTCAACACTCCTAATTGTGTAGAAACATTCACATGATAAATACATAGTAAAGAACATGAACAAAAACGCAAGAAGACAAACCTCATATGATATAACAGATCGATGTATAGAAATATATTAAGCACTAGATAAAGAGGATGTTAAAAAAAAGGGCAAAGAACAACCTTGATATATTGCTCACTCTGAGGATTTGACTATGTATAGACTCCAAGGAGAATTCCGGAACGGATCTGATAAAACAAAAGAACTTTGTTCGCAGCACTAAATCTTGGGGTATATAGGGTTGAAGAGAAAGTTGCTCAAGCTCTCTTTCGTCAACAACCTTTTTGTCGTATCTTGGTCAAAGGAAATCCAACAGAACCAGACAAAAAAACAGCACTGAAAGAAAGGCAGGGATACACAAGCGGACAAAACAGACAAGAAAAGCAAAGTAGAAAGTTAATTGTTTTCCTCGGGAATTGAACTCAATCTCCTTCTTCTTTGCCCTCAAACTGCTTTGCTTTCACCAATTGATCTAGTAGTAGTTGCTATCCGCAATGAGAAAGAGATCAGATCCCGAGGATTATTGATAGAGAGAAGAGAGAAAGGGAAGGAAAAGGAGAGGTTTCAGGAGCAGTAGTGGATGAAAGGAAGCAAATATGAGAACCCTAATAAAGCATTCATGAATCCCTCCCTCTCTCTCTTCTTATTGGTTTTGGAGCTAGATTGCTGTAAGCTGAGTGATAAAAGTGTGGCGCTAAAACGGCTTGAGAATGAGAGAGAAAGAGAAAGAGAAAGATATGTCAACCTCTAAGTCTAAGTCCACCCACCAGCAACTGATAGAGACCTAAAAAGAATGATGTGGTGTTAACGTTTGAGGTGGCCGGAAGAGAAAACGCAACAAAGATCAACTGAGGACGAATGAAATGGGGTTCTCTAAGATGCATAGATGTTCAAATATATAATGAATAGAAATTATGATAATCATAGGCAATCGATTAAGGTCTTTATTTTGTTTTGTTTAAGTGGTGACCCTTGGTTGCAACTATAACATCCTCCCGCCCTCCAAAAGTTACATAATCCCTTTATCCCCATTTTTTTCAATCCAGGTTTTTTACCAAAAGAAGTAATAAAACAATAACACATTTTCTGTAAGATGTCAATAACATGTTGAGATGACCACTAAAAGAATTGGTATACAGAAACAGTTTTTACTTCAAAACTAATGTAATTACTTGACTAATTTCTATTATCAGTCTTTACTGTTGAGGATGTTTCAAATCCGCTTGCAAGTCTAACCCACGCCGCGTGGTGTACACGATCAGATTTAGAAATGTTTAGTGTATTTAGTGATATATAATAACAGTAATACAGGAATATGTGGTTAATTTTTTCCCTTCTTTGTGTCACGATGCTATTAAATTATCGTTTATTAGCAACAACTAATTGATAATGAATAGTAAGAGCTAAGATTGATCGATTGATTCAAAAGGTAAGCATAAACTTCCAGTTCACTCATTGGGATAAATTAAAGTTAATATATCCGAAATACGTTGGAAAAGAACTCAATATTCTTTCCCGGTGGGTGTGTTCAACTTTAATTTAACAAGTTAATGACAACATACACATGTATTAGCAATTTCGCACACCGAGGTTCTTATAATGTGGTCTGACAATATTAAACATTTATCCAAAACTGTCGTTCTTATATAAACATATATGCTTATGTGTTCCCAAAACGTGCATCCATTGATTTTGTTAATTATATCTGTTGATTAAAATATATCTAGGGCTTTAAGAAATCTAAGTGTTGCGTAAAGTTAGTTGGTCCACATCTTGTAGCCCCTGCTGCTTCTGTGTGAAAATGAGCTGCTCAACGAAGCAGTGATGCAGTTGCTGCTGGTGCTCTTGAAAAGTGCAAATAAATTAGTAACAGACAAGTGCTACATCATTTTAAGGTTTTGGAAAATAATAATAATTCTTTTTCAGTTGCATAAACAGCACGCGAGCTCTGGTTGGTTGGTCCGCAATATTTTTTAATTTTAAAAACCTGACGCAGTGTATAATTCTTTTTCCTTTTTGTAGATTATATTATTAAACAAATAAAATCTGTTGCTAAAGCTTTGTGGAGAGAGCATGGCCCACGAACCGACCGTAGGCAATACGACAGTGACACCTCTCCAAATACACCTTCTGGTATAAAGGTAACATTAACAAATCCCAGTCTTATTCATCAATTCAGTGGACACTGCTAAGCTAAGCCTCTCAGCTCTGAACTCGGCTTCACCAGTTAACGTATTAGCTTCGTTGGCTTCGTGGCTCCCAATCCGTTATATGCTTTGTCGCATTTGGAACATTTTTAGTTATTTCTCATAAATCAATGTATATAATTCAGCTGGATGAATAAGATGGCTAAGTTATCATAAACTTTCTGGTAATTTTTATGGATTAAGCATAATAAAAACTAGAACACTTAGACCTAGGGTAGGCAAAAGATAAGAGCATAGGAGAATGACACGTGTTGCAAAGTGTTTGGTAGTTGTGCATGCCGGTACGTTAAGCCATTGTAGCTCTCCGGCTAAAGTGGGAGCGGAAAAGAAGGGAGGGCAAAAGAAAAGAAATAAAAGGGTATGATAAAAGCTAAAGTAAGAGAGTTTACAGTGCACAATGGTTTGTCTGTAAGTTCAAACTAGCAAAGAAGTGAAGCAAAAGTCTCAGACGTTATCCAACTCTCATCCTGTCCCCACCTTGCCACCATGGCTACGCGCTATCTATAACCATTCCTTCCTTTAACCTCCATTAATACATATCTACTCTTTTCACCCTTCTTTTCATTAAAACCATAATCATTTTTAAGTTTTTTACTGTCAACTAGCTTCTTCAACAAACCACATTTAACACATCAAAATTAATCAATTATATAATCAAAACCATCCTTCTTCTTCTTTTCTAGAAGTAGGTATTCTTATTCATTTCTATCAGAAGTTGGGGCTCTATTATTTTGGATATCAGATTTCATTTATTTCCCTAGAAATGAAATATAGCCCGAAAGTAATGGGAAGAACAAGTGGAAGCCACAACAGAGGTAAAGAGTGGGGGTGATGGATAATGATTGCTGATATAGACACATTATTGTTTCGGTTCCCCACGTTCAACTGGGGATGGGCAACTCCTCAAAAAGCGTTCTATAAAAATTAGAAAAAGCTTTCAGTCCCTT